TCCCAGCTACTCGGGAGGCTGAGGCAGGAGAATTGCCTGAACCCAGGAGGTGGAGGTTGTGGTGAGCTGAGATCGCGCCATTGCACTCCAGCCTGGGTAACAAGAGCGAAACTCCGTCTCAAAAAAAATAAATAAATAAAATAAAAATTTAAAAAACAACTTCAAGTCTCTTCTGTGAAATCTATACGGCCTTTCATCCAAAAACCTTAAATTCAATCCCAAAGATATTTTAATTTTTTTTTTTTTTGAGACCAAGTCTCGTGCTGTTACCCAGGCTAGAGTGCAGTGATGTAATCTTGGCTCACTGGGACCTCTGCCTCATGGGTTCAAGTGATTTTCCTGCCTCAGCCTCCTGAGTAAATGAGATTATAGGCACCTACCACCATGCCTGGCTAATTTTTTGTATTTTTAGTAGAGACGGGGTTTCATCATGTTGGCCAGGCTGGTCTCAAACTCCTGTGAAATCAGGTGACCCATCCACTTCAGACTCCCATAGTGCTGGGATTACAGGCATGGGCCACCACATGCGGCCTGAAGTTATTTTAATTAATACTAATATACAAACACAGCTTTCCTTGGCCGCCTATACGTTCTTGCTTCTCTTATTTTGCTGCCTTAAGTGGCACAGCTCAAAATCCCACCACATCCCTAGAGCCTCCCCTCTGGTAATCAGCAATGACTACTCTCTTGAGAGAAAGTGCTTAGTCAATAAACCACCACAACTGTCCTGACATTAATTCAGCTGTACTCAATTGCCACCTCCCCCAGCCCCAATCCTCACAGCACCATAAGTCTGTAAGCATGGCCTATCACAATACATCCTAGACATATTAATTAGCGGCTCAGGGAGGATAGAGTCAAGCTTTTCAAACAGAGAACTGTGTAGAAATACTTCAGAGAAAGGAGCACCACCTGCACAACTGATATGGGTAGAGACTAATCCTAGTATTACCAGTGTGCCACCAGGCAGAAGTCAGAGTGGTGGCTCAAAGTCTCCCAACCACCAGGAATGTTTTTCAAGAGACTATCACCTAATAACAAAGATCACCACGTCATTAGCAAAACATAAAGGCCTCCAATTTTTACAACACTGACAGGACAAGGTTAAGGGCTTCTGTGAGACCTCCTCTATGGCATCTTGAGGGTTCAGTTAGCCAAGTGCTCTCCTTAATGAGCCCTTCTCTCTGCTGTGCTGTTTATCAAGGTCACAATGATACATCAGTGTCATAGTTTGTAAGACTTTTGTCATTCAACTTCAACTACTATAAATTAGAATTCACTTTCTTTTCTATTTTCCCTCACTCTCAACAAGGCAGATAACAGGCCCAGCCAGTCTTGCCAATACTCAGTCACTCATGGCGTTATTGAGGGCTTAACAAAAGTTGGAACTCCCCATTCCAAAGACTTCAAAGAGTCAAACATTACATCACCAGGAAGTAGCTTCCAACTCCTAAAGGCTTTCTAAACAGAAATGACTCATTGGACATACATTTGTTAAAAATCTATGTTAAAAAGCTTACAATGTGAAAATAAACCTGTATGAGCAGGAGCCTAAGCTTTGGAGTCAGAAGACCAGATTTGAGACCCAGGGCCAGTTCTAGCATGTACTGGCTGTAATTTTTTGGCAAGTTTCAATCTCTTCGCACCTGTTTTTTCACCTGCAAAGTGAAGGCAAGACAACCAACTCCATCACCAAACTACTGTGAGCATTAATTCAATTTCAATTTATACCAACCAACAGTGTGCTATACCAGAAGTACACTAGATGCTAAAGACATATCAACGACCAAGACATCATGGCATATGTGTAGTTATTCAATTTAAATACTAGGAATGTGATCATTACATGAAATTATGGGTGTGACAACTGTTATTATTAAAGCAGCTCTGGAAATGTACAGCAAAAGAGCTAACATTTCTAGAGATGAAAAATTATTTTTGGCCGGGTGCAGTGGCTCACGCCTGTAACCCCAGCACTTTGGGAGGCCGATGCGGATGGATCACGAGGTCAAGAGATCAAGACCATCCTGGACAGCATGATGAAACCCTGTCTCTACTAAAAAATACAAAAATTAGCTGGGCGTGGTGGCACATGCCTGTACTCCCAGCTACTCGGGAGGCTGAGGCAGGAGAATTGCCTGAACCTGAGGCAACTGCCTGAGGTGGAGGTTGCAGTGAGCCAAGATTGCACCACTGCACTCCAGCCTGGAGACATGGCAACACTCCGTCTCAAAAAAAAAAAACAAAACAAAACAAAACAAAAAACTATTTTTAGGCCTGGCACAGTGGCTTATACCTGTAATCCTAGCACTTTGGGAGGCTGAGGCGGGTGGATCACTTGAACCCAGGAGTTCGAGACCAGCCTGGCAAACACGGAGAAACCCTAACTCTACAAAAAATACAAAAATTAGGTGGGCTTGATGCTGTGCACCTGTAGTCTCAGGTACTTGGAGGGCTGAGGCAGGAGGATCACTTGAATTCAGGCGGGAGGTCAACAATGCAGTGAGCCCAGATTGCACCACTGCACCCAGCCTGAGGGACAAAGTGAGACCCTGTCTCAAAAAAAATAAGTTTTTTAAATTAAAAAAGCCTGGCATGGTGGCTTAGGCCTGTAATCGCAGCACAGAAGGCTGTATTATCAGCACAAGGGCCTGAGGTGAGGACTGCTGAGCCCAGGAGTTCAAGACCAGCCTGGGCAACACAGGGAGACCTTGTTTCTACAAAAAACTCAAAAATAAGTGGGGCATGGTAGTGTATGCCTGTACTCCCAGCTACTCAGGAGGCTGAGGCAAGAAGATCCCTTCAGCCCGGGAATTTGCGGTGGCAGTGAGCTGTGATCGTACCACCCCAACCCAGCCTAGGTGACAAAGCAAGACCCCATCTCCAGAACAAACAAAAGGAGGGCAGGCAGTGGCACAGGGAATAAAGTTACCTCCACTTGTTAAGGACATGGGATTAGATCCTACTTGGAAAGCCACAGGTTTTAAGATGCCAAGAAAGCACTGAATTTTAGAAAAAGCCTCCAACTGCAGTGTGTCAGGAGACCTGAGGATGCCACGGACTCACTCAAGGCGGGCACACAAAGATGCTGCTGCGTCTAGGAGCCACCGATGGTGCCCTGAACCAAGAATGGAGACTGAAGAGTGAGACGAGTGGGCTGTTTCATGGACTGCTTGAACCTGAAGGCAGAACAAGCACTGCTTAGCCATGGTTTGGATGCGGTAGCTGAGGAAGAAAGTGGAGCCCAAGGCTCTTAGGGACCTTTTTAAAAAAAATAAAAGGCCGGGCGCGGTGGCTCAAGCCTGTAATCCCAGCACTTTGGGAGGCCGAGGCGGGTGGATCACAAGGTCAACAGATCGAGACCATCCTGGTCAACATGGTGAAACCCCGTCTCTACTAAAAATACAAAAAATTTGCTGGGCATGGTGGTGCGTGCCTGTAGTCCCAGCTACTCAGGAGGCTGAGGCAGGAGAATTGCCTGAACCCAGGAGGCGGAGGTTGCGGTGAGCCGAGATCGCGCCATTGCACTCCAGCCTGGGTAACATGAGCGAAACTCCGTCTCAAAAAAAAAAAAAAAAAAAAAAGATAAAAGTTGCTGCTCAATGTCAAGGAGAAGCTGCTATTAAAGGTTTTGACTGTTATGATAAAACGTCACTATCACTTCTTTTAAGATCCTGTCCTAAGTCTCTTCTATGTATATGAGGAACAAACCCACTAACACAATCAGATGTGTCTAAAATGCTCTAAAACTTCCTTTCCCAAAAGAAATCTTCAGCTAAGGCTTAACTGTGAAGAAATTCAAGGCACTGGCATAATCTGATATGACTGAAATTTTATTACCAAGCACTATTTGTTACAAATCTATGTGCTATAAAAATATGATTAAATTATTAAATTACAGGATTCTTACGTTGAAGTACAACTTCAAAGTACAACTGCTAAATGCAGTCTTAAAATATAAATTCAACTCCTGTGGAATAACCTTTTTCTTTTCTCCATTTTCTTTCTTTCTTTCTTCTTTTCTCCATTTTAAGAGATTAAGTAAAAGTTTTAATCAAAAGGTTATTCCTTATCTACTGTACTTCCACAAACCAAGTCAACATCTGCACTGGGCAACGTGACAGCCTTTCTATGGCCTTTCCCCCACGA